AGTAAGAGTTTTTGAGATTAATTGTACATCTTTTGAAAGTTGAGGGACTAAATTGCAAGAAAAAGGTGCTTGTTTGGGACCTAAATGATTGAATCTTAAGTTTTTGGATCTAAGTGATCATTGTACGAAATATAGAGGACCAGGTTTTACAATTTTACCATTGAAGAAATTGCGGAAAGAGCCTAGAAACCCGACTCGGGTGAAGTGTCGACACGTAATTCACAATGTAATCCACAGTGGCGGCACCATGGGTTCAACGCGCAAAAACTCCTACTCCAAGTAAGAGTCGACTCTTTGGTATTAAAGAGTCAAATCTAAAATAATAAAGTTGATTCTCAAGCCTTCAAGAATCGACTATAGATAATCAAAATTTGACTCCAAAATTTTAGAGAGCTGTGAATATTTTGTTGTAGGTTACAGTCGACTCTATAAATAGAGAGTCGACTCTTACGGTTAAAGAATCGATTCTTTGTGGAGAAGAGTCAATTCTTACTTAAAAAAATCTACAATTCACCAAAATTGTAATAACAGTATGTGAAATATCTATGAAACCTCATATATATGCCACATATTTTTTAAATTAAATAGAGTTTAAAATTATCTAAATATGTTAATAACTAATTTAAATATATTAATTAATTTACCATATGTTAAATAAAATTTAATAGATGAAATAAAACCATCTAATAAATTAAATTTTATTTATAAAAATGAATTTTTTAAAGATTAAGAATTATTTAAAATATAATAATTTTAATTATTTAGTGGTGAGGCAGGAGTGATTTTGATTTCAAATTTTAGCAACATAATACGCGTTGGTGATGGGTGGTAAATTTGAAATTCAAACATGTTTTACCAACATGGAGTATGATGGTGATAATGGGGTAAACCTTCAGCAACCAACTTTATGTTGCTGAAAGTTCTTTACATACCCCTACCCTCATCCTTTTTCTCCATTTGTTTTGCAATTCTATCCAACTCCCTTTCTCCTCTGTGTTGCACTATCCAAAGCAATCTCCATGTCTTCTGCAAGTCTCCACCTCATTCTCCTGCGTGCTGGACTATTGTTAGCCATCTCCATGTGTTCTGTAATTCTATCCACTTCCTTCTCCGCGTGTTCTGCATGCAATTGTCTCCACTTAGCTCCTTCTCCTGCATGTTGCAACATAGTATCCTCAGCCATCTCCAGGCGGCTTTCTGTAATTCTCTCCACCTCCTCCTATGGGTTGCACTATATCATATGATGAGCGCGCCTCCTCTCTTCCAAACCTCCGATCAAATCTAGAAGTCTCAGCCTCCGTTTTTTTTTTTTTTTTTTTCTATTAAGTCCCTTGAAGCATATTGTAAGTATAAAATATTTTTGTAAAGATTACATTATTAATTAAGTGGGTATCAATTTATTTGAAAGTTAATATATTTATATATGGTAATTAATAATTTTATTATTTTATTTGTTTGTATATAATTATTAATAAAATAAAAAATTCAAGTTTGGTACTCAATCAGAACATAAAAATTCATTAACTTAAGTTTTTTAATTTATATACATTTATTAAGTTAAAAATTGAATAATGCATCTAATTGAGAAATATTTATGATGTAGTTTTAATTTTTTTTTTATAAATATAACTAATTATATTGTATGTGAGATATTAAAATATTTAATATTTAATGATTATAAAAAAATAGATTTTATATTTAAATACTATAAAATTATTAAATTTAATACTAATAATATAAAATTAATGTAATATATATTATCATATAAAGGCATAATTTTTTTGTTAGGTATTTTGATA